TGACCTGCTGTAGTATATGTGTTAAGGCAATGACCTGCTGTAGTATATGTGTTAAGGCAATGACCTGCTGTAGTATATGTGTTAAGGCAATGACCTGCTGTAGTATATGTGTTAAGGCAATGACCTGCTGTAGTATATGTGTTAAGGCAATGACCTGCTGTAGTATATGTGTTAAGGCAATGACCTGCTGTAGTATATGTGTTAAGGCAATGACCTGCTGTAGTATATGTGTTAAGGCAATGACCTGCTGTAGTATATGTGTTAAGGCAATGACCTGCTGTAGTATATGTGTTAAGGCAATGACCTGCTGTAGTATATGTGTTAAGGCAATGACCTGCTGTAGTATATGTGTTAAGGCAATGACCTGCTGTAGTATATGTGTTAAGGCAATGACCTGCTGTAGTATATGTGTTAAGGCAATGACCTGCTGTAGTATATGTGTTAAGGCAATGACCTGCTGTAGTATATGTGTTAAGGCAATGACCTGCTGTAGTATATGTGTTAAGGCAATGACCTGCTGTAGTATATGTGTTAAGGCAATGACCTGCTGTAGTATATGTGTTAAGGCAATGACCTGCTGTAGTATATGTGTTAAGGCAATGACCTGCTGTAGTATATGTGTTAAGGCAATGACCTGCTGTAGTATATGTGTTAAGGCAATGACCTGCTGTAGTATATGTGTTAAGGCAATGACCTGCTGTAGTATATGTGTTAAGGCAATGACCTGCTGTAGTATATGTGTTAAGGCAATGACCTGCTGTAGTATATGTGTTAAGGCAATGACCTGCTGTAGTATATGTGTTAAGGCAATGACCTGCTGTAGTATATGTGTTAAGGCAATGACCTGCTGTAGTATATGTGTTAAGGCAATGACCTGCTGTAGTATATGTGTTAAGGCAATGACCTGCTGTAGTATATGTGTTAAGGCAATGACCTGCTGTAGTATATGTGTTAAGGCAATGACCTGCTGTAGTATATGTGTTAAGGCAATGACCTGCTGTAGTATATGTGTTAAGGCAATGACCTGCTGTAGTATATGTGTTAAGGCAATGACCTGCTGTAGTATATGTGTTAAGGCAATGACCTGCTGTAGTATATGTGTTAAGGCAATGACCTGCTGTAGTATATGTGTTAAGGCAATGACCTGCTGTAGTATATGTGTTAAGGCAATGACCTGCTGTAGTATATGTGTTAAGGCAATGACCTGCTGTAGTATATGTGTTAAGGCAATGACCTGCTGTAGTATATGTGTTAAGGCAATGACCTGCTGTAGTATATGTGTTAAGGCAATGACCTGCTGTAGTATATGTGTTAAGGCAATGACCTGCTGTAGTATATGTGTTAAGGCAATGACCTGCTGTAGTATATGTGTTAAGGCAATGACCTGCTGTAGTATATGTGTTAAGGCAATGACCTGCTGTAGTATATGTGTTAAGGCAATGACCTGCTGTAGTATATGTGTTAAGGCAATGACCTGCTGTAGTATATGTGTTAAGGCAATGACCTGCTGTAGTATATGTGTTAAGGCAATGACCTGCTGTAGTATATGTGTTAAGGCAATGACCTGCTGTAGTATATGTGTTAAGGCAATGACCTGCTGTAGTATATGTGTTAAGGCAATGACCTGCTGTAGTATATGTGTTAAGGCAATGACCTGCTGTAGTATATGTGTTAAGGCAATGACCTGCTGTAGTATATGTGTTAAGGCAATGACCTGCTGTAGTATATGTGTTAAGGCAATGACCTGCTGTAGTATATGTGTTAAGGCAATGACCTGCTGTAGTATATGTGTTAAGGCAATGACCTGCTGTAGTATATGTGTTAAGGCAATGACCTGCTGTAGTATATGTGTTAAGGCAATGACCTGCTGTAGTATATGTGTTAAGGCAATGACCTGCTGTAGTATATGTGTTAAGGCAATGACCTGCTGTAGTATATGTGTTAAGGCAATGACCTGCTGTAGTATATGTGTTAAGGCAATGACCTGCTGTAGTATATGTGTTAAGGCAATGACCTGCTGTAGTATATGTGTTAAGGCAATGACCTGCTGTAGTATATGTGTTAAGGCAATGACCTGCTGTAGTATATGTGTTAAGGCAATGACCTGCTGTAGTATATGTGTTAAGGCAATGACCTGCTGTAGTATATGTGTTAAGGCAATGACCTGCTGTAGTATATGTGTTAAGGCAATGACCTGCTGTAGTATATGTGTTAAGGCAATGACCTGCTGTAGTATATGTGTTAAGGCAATGACCTGCTGTAGTATATGTGTTAAGGCAATGACCTGCTGTAGTATATGTGTTAAGGCAATGACCTGCTGTAGTATATGTGTTAAGGCAATGACCTGCTGTAGTATATGTGTTAAGGCAATGACCTGCTGTAGTATATGTGTTAAGGCAATGACCTGCTGTAGTATATGTGTTAAGGCAATGACCTGCTGTAGTATATGTGTTAAGGCAATGACCTGCTGTAGTATATGTGTTAAGGCAATGACCTGCTGTAGTATATGTGTTAAGGCAATGACCTGCTGTAGTATATGTGTTAAGGCAATGACCTGCTGTAGTATATGTGTTAAGGCAATGACCTGCTGTAGTATGTGTGTTAAAGCAATGACCTGCTGTTGTATATGAGTTATGGCAATGACCGGCTGTAGTATATGTGTTAAGGCAATGACCTGCTGTAGTATTTGTGTTGAGATAATGACCTGCTCTAGTTTATGTGATAAGAAGTGACATACGAGTTCTTGTATATGTGTTACGGCAATGACCTGCTGTAGTATATGTGCTGAGATAATGACCTGCTCTAGTATATGTGATAAGAAGTGACATACGAGTTCTTGTATATGTGTTACGGCAATGACCGGCTGTAGTATATGTTATATGTGTTAAGGCAATGACCTGTTGTTGTATATGTGTTAAGGCAATGCCCTGCTGTAGTATATGTGTTAAGGCAATGACCTGCTGTAGTATATGTGTTGAGATAATGACCTGCTCTAGTATATGTGATAAGAAGTGACATACGAGTTCTATTTATATTCCTTGGCGCGTTGTAAAGCACGTTTTGGACTGAAATTCGAAAAAGTGTCCAGTTTGCATCTTCAGCCTGCGGTAAAGTTGATGTCTCTTTTGGTGTTTATACCTTAGACGATGACCTACTGTAGAATATGCGTTAGATAACGACATAAAACAAATATAAGAACGTGGATCTGCGCCCGATCGAAGCTCTTTAATTGTAACACATGCTTGCGTTAAGAGATACTTCACTTCCTCATACATCGTCGAACTTTAACGAATTTTATAAATATAAAACAGTGCCAAACTTGCCCCGATCTCCCCTCATTGTCGTGTCGATTTGTCTTTTGAGCTTGCGTTTAATATTATTAACCGACTTACCGACTTTAAATAAAGCTTATATTTTCTTATTCTGAATCAGCAAATATCAGATATTAACAAAAACTCCCCCCTTTTGAAGCTTTGCCTTATCATATTAATTATTAATGATTCATTTGAATATCAAATCAGCCCAATATTTGCCAGTCAAACATCGAGCCAGTCCAATATAGAGCTAGCCAAATATTAAATACGTAACAAACTTCACGCTCGTCTAACTATGTCGTTAAAACGACCGTAATTCACACATTTTTTATATATGACAAAATAAATATATAAATGTTGAAATTGCCCTGATTAGAAATGTCAACATGTATATGTATATAGGATGGAAATGTTCAGAGGCTCCTAATGTGATTATCGCAGACAACAAGTAGTTGGGCAGTTGACCCCGTACTTTATTCACGTCCTTTCGGGTTAAACAAAATCGTGTCATCTTGTTGAAAGATGAATTGTTTTCCACTACGCCACCCGACCACCTATATGATTATTATCAAATGTTATATAACTTCACAAAACAGAATCGTTTGTTTATATGCCAATTGTAATAATTATCGCGTACGCAGGACCTTTTATCTCGTACGTAAGACATGATTTTCTTTTCATTCCTAAAACAGCCACGAATAAGGTTTCGTAGGTCAACATGATTTGTTCACAAAAAAACCCCACTTTGAATCGATCTAACTGGTACTTTGCCGAGATGAACAGTGTGGAACCTGCAATGAAATACGACAGAAAACGTAGCATCTGATCCTTCCAACTCTTCATGTATCAACCTCTATTTTATTTGATCAAATTGTTCATTCACACGACTTCATGTTCATATTAAATAATAACCACCATCATAAAGTACATAGTTGTGAAATTTCAACTCACAGTTTTAGAGGGTATTACAAATATAAGTATAAAAAGACGCTTGATTTCACAGTAATACATTCTTTACTTCTTCATCTGATAATGATGGCGGAGTTAGCTCGATATGTAGATACGATTAATATATATAAACTGCATGACCATGGAATTCCTTAATTCTCCAGGGGTTAGGCTCACCTATATTTTCTACACCCATGGAATATGATCTTGTGGATGAGATAAGAAGAATAGTTTGATCCTTTGATGTACATCAAAAGAATCTCGCGGTCGCATAACAGTGAACTTTAATGACTTTGGAGTCAGATGTCGCTCCTTTGTAATTTTTGAAGGACAGGTATTAGCCAAGCGATTGGTCAGGTTTTTTAACCTGAGACAAATCAAATATATACCAGGGTGTCTATGATTTGCTATGACATATAGTCAACGGGTACAGAGAGCCTAAGTGAGCGTAACCCCTGCAGTATCGAGGATGACCCATTGTCTTGAGTAAATTATCTAATATTTTCAGACTCTTTGATATCTTTCGTTTTCTTACTGCAATGTAACAATATTTTTTTTTATGCTGTTGACAAAAAGTTAATTGAGGTATTCACCAGGACGGTTTTTATCAACATGAAATTACAGGTCAGAGAAAAATAATGAATTATGAAGTATTGGTAGAATATCCTTGTCATTCGTACCCAGACATTAAATTAGTATTTATCAGATATTTTCATATTCATTTGAATTTTATTTCAGTTGCTACAACTACCTGTGGACAATATTCAGTATATAGCAGTCGCCTTGCGCAATGTGTCGGTAAGTTGATTAAATCTTATAAATGGAAAGCTAAAAAGTCTCCAAGTAGTGAAGAGTTCAGTAAAACATTGGTTTAATTTTGCTAAAACGCAAACCAAACGTGACTATTATTTGCCATTCTTCGTATACACATACCTTAAACTTTGTATCAATTGTGTTTTAACTGTTTTGTGTATGCTTTTAACATGCATATGTACTGTATCATGAAAGGGTCCAATCAATTGTTCATGATGGCTTGGTATGTCTTTATATTAACAAGTATCCACTGTAAAATAAATCAAGCAATTATTTTTCTACTTGTCGTATCTATATCCTTTGAAGAGGAGTAGTAAGGCAAACAAAGCACTATAGATCGTGTTAAGTAGTATAGGTATATTGTATTACATGTACACGATGCGCGATATATTTTTGAAATAGTGTCGGTATACTGATAGATACGGTATATTGTATAGCATGTACACGATACACGATATATTGTTGAAATAGTGACGGTATACTGACAGATAAGGTATATTGTATTACATTTACACCATACACGATATATTGTTGAAGAAGTTATGGTATACAGATAGATACGGTATATTGTATTACATGTACACGATACACGATATATTGTTGAAGAAGTGATGGTTTATAGATAGATACGGTAGATTGCATAACAAGTACACGATACACGATATATTGTTGAAGAAGTGATGGTAACCAATAGATACGATATATTGTATTACATGTAAAAGATACAAGATACATTGATGAAGTAGTGACAGTATACTGATAGATACGGTATATTGTATTACATGTACACGATACACGATATATTGACGAAATATCGATGGTATACTGTACTGATAGATACAGTAATTTGGATTACATGTACACCATAAACGAGATATTATTGAAGACGTGACAGTATACTGATAGATACGGTATATTGTAATACTTGTATACGATACACGATATATTGATAAAGTAGTGACAGTATACTGATATATACGGTATATTGTATAACATGCACACGATACACGATAAATGTCGTAGTGGTGTCGTTCATTCGAGTTAAGGCTTTGGTAAAAAATGTTTAAAATAAAAATTACAAAGACACATGATATTTTTCACTAATTTTCACAGACAAAAACTTAGTAGCATGACACTTTTATCAGCAAACTTGTTAAAATAGCTGCAATTTACCATTAACATTTGCGATAATTTTGTTTAGGATATGTATTTACCTGTATCAGATACTAAAAATGTTTTTTATATTTCTTTCCACTTCTTTTACCTTCTATTTCCTAACGTCTTTCTTGGCAACACGTCGCTTTTTGCTTTAATGTTGAACGTTTGCCCAGATGAGGAAGGCAATGGATTATGGCCCTGACCGGGCCATACCCAAGTCTTTTAAATGATAGTTGTTATTCCCTGTCTAACGTTCAGCATCTAGGGTAATGACAACACCTGGTGCACCCTTTGTCTGGTATTTCAGTGAGATAGCACTATAAAGTCGACATCAGATCCGTTCTTTCACAAGGAGGCAAAAACACCAACATACCATGTCTCCTACACACATGAACGCATACACAACACACATGGAGGCACGTCCTTAAATACCATAGCTGTTGATTCAATCATACTATAAAAATGATACATGTATGAGGTATGATATATGTATATATTAAGACCAATGAATCAGCAAATTTGCAGTTACTTATAAATAATAGTATATCTCACTGACCGAATTGTGATCTTATAAATATGAATATTTGCATAATGAAATTGTACCTTTTCTAGATTTTGAGTGGTGTTTGTACCAGTTCTACACCGACCCAAGATCGTGGTCAGATGCAATAGCGATCTGTGAACAAAATAACAAGACGTTGGCCCATATTACTGATCTGTCGCAGCATGTCTACCTGACGTCACTGATCCAAACCAGTTTACCTGCAATCTACTTTAGCCCGCCCAGGTATGTCTTTGCTAACTTAGCCTAGAGTTTCTGCCAGAGACCGAGGAACATGTCGATCATCATTGTAGCCATTTTTGTATATTCGGGGTTTTGATTTTGCCGTTTGTAACCGGCATTAGGTGGCATGTGCCCTGCCTTTAACATGTATTCTTCGGAGCTCATTTTGTCTCCCCGCTTTTTTAGGTTGAGAAGGAATATAGGAGGGCATGGATTCCTGATGTCTTCCATGTGTTTGGTGTTTCCCCGGTTACTATTGACTTTTGCGTTTCGTATTTGAGTAATAACGTGTGTTTTGATGCTTTGGTGTGCCGGTTTTTCTTTTTTCATTAGTTACCTGAATAAATGAAATGATACTCATATCTCATTATCACTAATACTGTAATCTAATTAATCTAGCCAAACAGCCAAAAAATGTGTTGTACTCATTCAATAGTTCCTTATGGATCTACTTCTACATGTTGTTATGCATTGGACTCCTCCATTACCTTGTGCTTTTTCGTTATATAAATACTACGTTTATTACAGTATGACAGTGCCTTGGGTCTACCCTTTACTCGTTACTAGGGCGTTGGGAAGCTTTGTGAACCACCCTGCCATTGACCCAATGTTAACGCACGAATGCGACAATGTAAAATGAACAATTTGTTTCGACCAATTAGATTAGATGATTTATTACGCATCTAATGGTTGTATAAGTATGGCATAACAGGGTAGATAAGGAATATGGAGTTATGATTTGTGCATGTTTTTTCAGCTCCACCATGTGGATAGGATTGTACAAGACAAATGGGGGACAACCTGTATGGCAAGATGACTGCGCCACTCTAAGCGCAAACTATACTCCTGTTACTGCAACGTTGACAGACCCAGCCGAAATATGTTACATGCTAGACGCACAGGGACGCACCTATCAAGAACACTCCTGTGAACAGTCTCAACCGTTCCTATGTAAGGCAGCAACGTTGGGTAAGAACACTCCACGTTTAACTTTTAATCATAATACCGTTTTATATATGCCGTAAAACAGGTATTTCTATCGACCAAGCTGGTTTGGTTTGTTTGTGTTTTACGTCCTACTGATATATATTTTGTTTTAAAGACGTGTCAGGATTTGTTGATGGAGGAAGACCAGAAGGCCCAGGGACAGCCACCGACACGCGGCTAGTACTCACTAAATACTGTACCAAGGAAATCACTAAGTCGGCAGTCAATTCAATTCCCAAAAAATGTATATATTATGCAATGCTTAAAGTTCACCTTAATATCATTGGATCTATAAATATAAGGACCAGTATATCTCTATTTCATATACTACCAAGCTTATTTTTGCTTTACAGTTTTAAATGTTCAAAAGTTTAAAAACAATATGCAATACAGTGGAAATTTTAGCATACTGGTATATGTTTGCTAATAACACAAAACACATAATAAATGTTGAAGAAAGACTCACTTAAACTTTCATTTTTTTCGGCTTTTGTAAGAAGGGAAATACCGGGGAATACTTTTGATCAGATGAATAAAAAAATGTCTAATTACAGACCGTGTTATATTAAGTATTTAATCATCGAAAACATGAGTACTTTTCGTTTGAAAGTAAAGGGGAGAGGACAGTTAAATTTCTTTTCTGAGCTAAATATATAAGTTTAAGAAATTCCATTTACATTGATAAGAAGAAAAAACAATTTTGTTCAATTGTGCAAACATTCATAGATTCATGATAACACACTTGGAAGATATTGTATGAATTTGTTCTGCACATTGTCAACAAAGAAAGCAAATCACTAGAAATCACTTGTCATGTTAAATAGGTTTCTTGCCAAATTATAGCACAGAAACAAATACACGGTCATACATATAAGATTTATCGAACAAAAAAACAACATAGATAGTAAAATACAATCTAAAAACCTAACAATGTTGCTTTGTTCTTCAATGATTAGTAGTAAAGGAGACAACTGCACTGATTCAAAATGCAAGACACCAAAGTGTTGGACTTGTAGCATAATTAATGATGGATCTTGAACCAGAGTTAAAAATCGTTTTGAATGAACTTTAAAATGCAGTATGAACTATAAATCAAATTTTGTAGTATATACTTCAGTCTGTTCAAAACGTTAAGATGTTTATATCGGTCAGACAGGATAGATTATGAGTTTGGTAAAATGATGACGTTACACAGACAACAAACAAGGAAACGTAATCTTAGAATTGTAAATGAGAACAAGCATTTTCATTCCTGTTCATAAACAACTTTATCACACAAATGTAAGAGAAGCTAAGGAATCAATGTTTACAAAGTTGTTACAACCATCCTTCGATAGGTCCTGTTAAAGCAAAATGTTTTTCAATTGTATGTTTTCTAATAATTTCTATATGGTGGTGGCGCCGCCAATGACATATGTATTCGGGGGTATTCGTGTGTTTCCGGTAACGTAGACTTGGGAACGTATCCCAATGGGGTCTAAAATGTGCCGAATCAGGCCACTTGCCAGTAGTTCCACCATTTACTTTTACTTATGAGTGATGTGGCGATTGAATTGGTCCTGGAATACTTCTTGTTACTACATGTATGCATGTATACACCTTATATGGAAAAGGCAACTAGTAATAAGCGGAAAATCACGAAAGACTTCCGATTGATTGTTGTTGGTAACGTTTAAACAGTGTGTATTGTATTAAACATAATATACGTCCGCTATATGGTACGTTGATTGATTGTACCTTCAAATGAGGATTCACCTCCATTTAGACGCATACAGTAGAATGAACAAAGTTGGCAACGGACCTATTCTATGATGCGTGTTAAAAATAACTGCAATGAAGTGTTTAAATGCTACATACGACGAACAAATAGTAGAAGCGGTTTGCTACGATGGTTACTACGGTAGCCGCGGTTGCTTGAGTAATATAGTTCCCGATAAGCTTCATCGATTGATGAGTTTATTAAGAACACACACACACAACAATACTGTAGCCCTTCGACCATGTCTATTCATTTATAACGGACATTACATTGCCATACTGCTATGTTAGTGAGGCTGTCAAGTGTTCCAGAAAGAAGCTGCCATTGCTTACTTTACCGTCGAAGATATTTGAATGTGCATCTATGTAATAAGAACTTTTGCAGTATCCGTTGTCGTATACTTAGATATAACGGATCCCGCTTATGTGCCACGTACATGTAACTAGATGATGAAGAAATCAGGCAATAGCTGTAATCGGGCTGTTATCGCGCTGAAGCGTGAACGCCGCCATATTTGTAACTAGTATAAATCCGCCGAATCTTCTTTCACAACGTAAACGCTAATTTGTACGCAATAAGAGTTTACTTAGTTAAGAAGGGAGATATGTAAATATAAAAGCATTCTCCTGAAGTGATGTGTAGCAGCGAAATGCCTCGAGGAATATAAAAGCATTCTCCTGAAAAGCTGAGGATCGGTCTTCTTCCGATTAAAAAATATGTTTCGTGTTCATGTCACTTTGACTTCAATCCATTTTTTGTATATTTTCCTTCGCAAGAACTTCTTTATTTATTACCTCCTGTACATACACACACACACACACACACACACACACACACACACAAATATATATATATATAAACATTAACTTGTTTTCCATTCTACTTTGTCATTGACTCCTTTTTCCAAAACTACATATACAAAAAATTATTATAGAAAATGTCAACCTCTCGGAAGAGTACATAATTACAATTCGCTTGGTTTTAAAATGTTGTGCTATCTTTCGGTGACCGTTAATATACAGTGTAGCAACCAACTATACGGTTACCATACAGGTATAGCAGTAAACGTTGAACACACTTTGAATCAGTGTAATTAAACTGTTAAAAAGTAGCCATTTATTCCAACTTACAGATATCAGCACATGCTATGAAAGTGTTTCAATACTTTACAATGCCAGTGTACATTACGTATACGTTATCTACTTTGACTACGTTGGCTACGTTGACTACTTTGACTACGTTGGTGCATGGAGTGAATGTGCCATTTTATCGGGAAAAGGCGAAAACGCTGTGGGATTCCGGTACAGATACCGATACTGCTCTTATATGACTTATGCAGCACACTCTTCCTACACAAAGGGCACTAAATATGCAAAAGGTAAGTACGGGTGCAAAGCATTAGTTACAGTATACATTTTTACAAGTAACCATACTAAGATATTGTCTGCTCACCTATTTCCAACAGAATCTCAAATAGTTTTTTTCCCCTTGTACTCATCAAGTCAAGTCTCACCGAAAATATCAGCTACCACTATCTCTCTATTGGTAGTTCCTTTGAAACGTTTTAAAACCTCCATTATCCATTTATTTTGTTTTTAGCTTATGTACCACTATGTATTTAAAGTTTGGCTCGTACAATTATGTGGAATAATCTAAAAGAAGTTGCAATTCCGTTAAATTGGCAGATTATACTATAATGCGCATTTTCCAACAACATAGTGAATATAATATTCATAATGATACCTATCCCACTGCAGGAAAAAGACTAGAGGATCCCGTTGTAGTTTATCGTAAATACTGTAGCATCCCACTTTATTTTGAAAGGACGTATATATGATGTGCAATTAGGCTACTGTTGGCCAGATACTTCATTTGCTTAGAGCGATAGATAACCAATCTCATGCCAAGGATTCACATCCTAGCCTAGTCCCGCTGCAAATTTAAACAATGAGCACTGTCGTTGATTATATTCTGTTTATAAATGTATCATCTTAATTGTTGTCCTTTTTTTAAGAAAAGTACCGCGAAGTATGGTGTTCTTGTCATTTTTTATTTAACAAATCTATAATCATGACAAAACAAATTGTTTCTTGTGCATAATGACAGTTTTAAGCAGCGTTACGTTTATCCTTATATTATCGTGCTTTCCTTGTTTCGGATATCGACGTCTTGAACATTTTGCTCAAGTTTTCTTCGTGGTAGCTATTGCTCGGTCATTCGAGTCTTGACCACATATTTAGAGTTGTAATGTATTCATTCGACGTTTTTTTTACACGATTTACGGGATTGCCTGAAGCACAACTACAGTGTACTCTACTGTACTTTTTACAGTGTTATATTTGTTTTATAAATACAATACAGTCAAACGTTGATGAACTTTACGGGACCATCGGGGGAAAATCGAAACATCGAGATTTCGATTTAAGAATTTCTTGGATATTCTGTATATACTGCAAAAGACCGACTGTAAAGAGACAAAAATAAAGCAAGATATTCAATTTGAAACATATAGATATTAGATTTAATGTATCAAGACAAATATGTTTATGTATTTGTGCACGGTAGTTTGCATGTTTAGATGTTAAAATGACCCAGGAACATCCCAATGTTCTCGTACAGGTACATGTAGTTTTACTCCAAATTATTAGTTGTAATTTTCAACGTTTACCTAACGATTAGACCATGAGTTCGAAACAGCGAAACAGGCGACTCTTAAAAGTTCGATTCATTAATTGAATATAAATTGTATAATGAAAGAAAAACAACTGGTTTTCGCCGAAAGTTCGTCACAAAGAAATTTGTTCGAATCTTTAAAGTTCGATTCATGGAAGTTTTGACTGTAACTAAATGCATAGTGGGAACTTGGTAATGCTTAGTGAATAAATTATCACTTTACACAGTTGATGTAGCTTACATAAACACGAATTTCAATGGTTTGTATACCATTCCATTTACCAACTGTATATGTGGTAATGTGTGAATGCTTCTAATGGTTGTTTCATTGTATGGTCTTTTAGCCATGCTAAAGACAGAAGTGGTAAGTCTCACAGAACCTGTGAGCTATATAACCAGTGAATGCCAAAGTGTGTACTCCACTAGTCCAGTGGAACTACCAACGATAGAAATGACACTGGCTCCAGATTCGGTTCCTACACACACGTGGCTGGTGACATCCCAAACGTATTCAAGTGTATCAGTTACAGGAACAGTATCGATTGTAACTAATACAGGTAAGTACATTTATAACTAAAATCACGTCAATCTCAACCGTCATGTCCGGTGATATAGTCAGAAGACCAGTTCAATTCACCAATCAGGTTTGCTGAATCATGTAGTGTTCCTGTCCGCTACCAGGTTTAGTGAGCTAGGTAGTATGCGTAAGGTCCAGTTCCGGTAGCTGTCAGATGTAGTGAGATAGGTAGTATGCGTAAGGTCCAGTTACGGTAGCTGTCAGATGTAGTGAGATAGGTAGTATGTCCAAGTTCCAGTCTCTTTCGTCTGTCAGATGTAGTGAGATAGGTAGTATTCATAAGGTCCTGTCGGCTGTCAAGTCTAATGAGTAACGAGAAATGTGCATTAAGTCAAGTCCTGTTAGCCGTCAAGTGAAGTGAGTAAGGTAGTATAACTAAGGTCAAGTTCCGTCAGGTGTACCGGGTCAGTCACTGTGACCTGTCAGGTAAAGTGAGTTAAATAACAGTTGTCAGGTTTAGTGAGTTAGATACTATGCCTAAGGTCCAGTCCCTATCAGCGGTCATGTTTGGTAAGTTATTTAATATAACTAAGGTCAAGTCACTATCAGATGTCAGGTTAAGTTAGTTGGGTAGTACGCCTAAGGTCCTGTCATTATGAACTTTAAGGTGTAGCGAGTTAGGTAGTATGCCCAAGGTCCAGTCCCTGTTAGCTGTCATGTTTAGTAAGTTAGGTAATATACCTAAGATCCAGACCCTGTTAGCTGTCAGGTTTAGTGAGGTTAGTAGTATGCCTAAGGTCCAGTCCCTGTTAGCTGTCAGGTTTAGTGAGGTTAGTAGTATGCCTAAGGTCCAGTCCCTGTTAGCTGTCAGGTCTAGTGAGGTTAGTAGTATGCCTAAGGTCCAGTCCCTGTTAGCTGTCAGGTCTAGTGAGGTTAGTAGTATGCCTAAGGTCCAGTCCCTGTTAGCTGTCAGGTCTAGTGAGGTTAGTAGTATGCCTAAGGTCCAGTCCCTGTTAGCTGTCAGGTCTAGATTGTTAGGTAGTATGCCTAAGGTCCAGACCATGTAAGCTGTCAGGTCTAGATAGTTAGGTAGTATGCCCAAGTTCCAGTCCCTGTTAGCCGTCAGGTTTCGTGAGTTATGTAGTACGCCTAAGGTTCTGTCATTGTGAATTTTAAGGTTTAGTGAGTTAGGTAGTATGCCTAAGGTCCTGTCATTGTGAACATTAAGGTGTAGTGAGTTAGGTGTATGCCTAATGTCCAGTCCCTGTTATCTGTCAGGTTTAGGTAGAATGCCTTAATTGCTGTCCCTATTAGATATCAGATGTAGTGAGTTAAATAGTATGCCTTACCAGTATCGACCTCCTCCAAGGTTCCATCAGACCTTTGTTACTGCAAATATACGCATGCCATTGCCGTAGACAATGTGTTCTCAACCGCAACAAGACGGTACATCATTGTAGCATTTAGAAGTGATACGGTGTCTAACATACACACTTGACTCATCGTGATTTGAAAATTTACTAAAATTTACCAAAACGCCTATAATTTTTGAAATTCATATTCAAAAAGATTTTTGCGCACTAACTTTTTTACATTAACAGTTGTGACACAAATCTTTAGTCTTTTGGCCCGTCACATCACTGATGCGTCCCAGGAGGACGAACCAGTTGTATGGCGCAGTCAAATTCATCTTTTGGGTACTGAATCCATTAAAAATGTTAATGGTGCAATCACATGTGTGTGCTATTCGTTCAACCTATCATAACATTCCGATCAACTGGAAATCCACACTTATGCCGATCATAAAGACAAATTCAAGGTCCTAAAGGAAGCTGGTCAACCTTTAAGAGATAACAACTCCTTGTGGAAGTCCACAATAGTTGGTTTTGAAAGAAGAATCGAAGGTGTCTTGGGCGATACGGACATCCTCAGATTTTCGTTATTGTGTGAAGAGATGAAACATCTCCTTTTGCTTTACTAGGAGATTGATATAAATAGTTTTCATACCGTGTGTCTATGTCTTTAGTGACTTTACTCTTGCTGTTGTTCTTCCCACTAACATGATTAACTATCAATATTGTCTTTCACCATTTTGAAAACAGTAATGATATCAATAATCCTATTATTTGAGAAGTTACTGTTTTCTAGTGCAGACATTTGAAGTCATTGTACCGAAACTGTGATATTTCACATGCCATTTAGTTTTAGGAGCCGCATTGCAGAACCTTTCTTACGATATTAAGCATATGGAGCCAACTAATATGAGTAACCTGACAACGTTCTGCAAACAACTACTTGAATACGTTTTGGGGAACTCCGACCACGTGTTTACAGATCTCGTAAGACTTTATATTCTGTTTTGAAAGAGTGTAAGGTAAAACTCTGACAATTTTTCACCAGGGTTATTAGCCGTCTTAACTTTCAAAAAATCACCCTGTGTTCATTCTGTACTGTTTTACTATCTCATCTTAGATATTTTTTAATATAACTATGAGATGCATGCTAATTGACACGGCGATGAGAGTCCTACTGATATGTTTCAGAATGAAAAAGGCAAAAATTATATGAGATTAAAAATATCCCGTTGTATAGCTTTGTATACAAATTGCATGAGAGAACATTACATTTTACAGTATTTTACAATATTCTATTTGACCTTGATATATAATACGATATTGCATGTAACAGTGTGTAGTGTGTATTTTATTTTGTTTTCATTCATATTTAGATAAAGCATTAGTAATAATAGTTGGTCGAGAGGCGCTGTGGTAAGCTCGCGCGCCTTTCACCAAGATGGCAGGGATTCGATATCCCGATCCGAGGTGAAAAGGTATGGGGTAATTTGCCCGACCACATGGGTTTTTTTCCGGGGAACTCCGGTTCCTCCATCATCATTACATACCACGCGCTAACATCCGGGCCAACTTATAGTTCATAGCTGTATACAGTAGAAGTTATTGAGAGCTTTGTTTAAACCAGTAAAATTTCCAAAATGCAGAGTTCGATTATAGACAGGCTGATATTTTGTTTGTGTTGGTATCAAACTGAAACGATATTATTTTAAGTAACATAGTTTGTGTTGTATCCTCGTGAACAATATGTTTCATTAATGATACTTGCACTAACCCAGAGAAGAAAGTACCATACCACGTCAAGGTAAGGTCTCTAATTCTTCATTTCATCAGTAGATTTGACAAATGTTTTTGTCGATCATAATTGCAAACATGCTTGTTAAGTATGATTAAAAAACAGAAAAACCATGAATGATATTTACAAAATTAAATTACAAAATATGAATTTAACAAAAAAAATGCCACAAGGATGTCTTTAACAAGATTGTTTGGAACTATATTGCAATTCGTACGTCTATTCTGCAATAAACAAACTGTTTGAATACGCTATTTTAGATTTCATCTATAACTTTGAAATCGGGATTATAATTGAGCAAATTAAGTGATATTGTAAACAATTATCTGTGTGACTTCATGTTTTTTTCGCTGATACAATGATATTAAATAGAATATGATTCTAACCTGTTAATGGACGTTAAACAAAATTTAACCAAACCAAAACTAAAATAAAAAACATATTTTATTTGATTCTGAAATTACGCATGATCTATTTTATCGAATTTATTAATGCGTTTACGTACTTTCATAGAAGAATGACTTTTGAATTATTTAAAATATGTGTGCTCCATTCATTTTCAATGTCTCTGTATTAACCATGATAGAAAAAAACTCTTTTAAAGAGGTTTTGTACAGAAATGAGCACAATGCCTTCAACACAAATGTTACAAGATCCTTTATTTGGCACAGACTACGAATACATAAGTACACTTTGTCTTGTACATTATGCTAGATTCCAAAGTAAAATACATTTTTTTTCTACTATTGCAACTAAGCAATGGTTTGAAATCGATACTGTCAGGATATCCCCCAAAGTTAGCAAACATAATTGTAGCGTTTTACAAATGAAATACATGTGCACTGTTCGTTCTCCCCGCTTGGAAATGTCAACGATAGAATGCATATAAGGTTTATTAATTTTACAACAATTATGAAAAAAGTTATTTTATCTTATATTAATCACTTTTGTTGGCCCGGATGTTAGAGTGGGAGGGTCTTAAGTGGGAGGAAACCAGAGTACCTGGAGAAAACCCACGTGGTCAGACAGATGACCCCATACCTTTGCACGTCCGATCAGGTAATCAAACCCCGTTCGTTTTAGCAAAAGGTAAGTGCGCGCGCTATTCATTGCGCCACCCAACCACCTTTAAGAATATAATCTTTATTTATAAACATAGAGCGGGATAGTAGATGTCGAAAATCAAATAACAAAACAGATGGAGTCATTGCCAGCAGGTGACCTCGATATGAACACAACGGTTTCTTGTAAGTATAAAGGCTAAACACGTGTAATATGAAAGTATGGTGGTAACTTAAATAATTACTTCATGGATGCAGTAAATGTGTTTTTTGTTAAAATGGAAGCTATACACATATTTGTTGTGTTCATATATATTGGGGCTTTGTGAATGTTTTTCAATGATTTAGAGTCGAGACAAGGGTCATTTGCACACTTTGTTTGGCGAAGGAAGCAGACGTTTTCGAAGGCCCGAGGAATTAGTTTCAGCAAACATTTATGCTCAAAACAAAATAAACATTATATATTGGTTGTAGCTTTAATGTAGAGCGAGTATTTAGTGATAGTATGACGTAGTACTTGTATTGATTGTAGAAGAAGAACATTACAAGTGTTGATTGTAAATATGGGGATATAAAGAGTGTCGGTTTTAAACTGATGGTAAAAAAGGGACATGTGTCAAATTTCTAGATATCGTATACTCAAACTAAGACCATGTATGGAAAGATCAGACAAAAGCACGATATAGTATAAGAATACCTCAAATTGAACGATTCATGTAACACCTTCACGGCAAGTTTGTACAACAGTTATTATGTGCTTGGGCTAGTGTAATTGGCCTATGGCAAGATAGCCAGTCAGTCAAACGACGTTTTGACGCGTAATAAAATGTAACGTCATAATGTCATCATCTGAGTGTGACGTCATAAAATTCCAAGTCACTGAGTGCACCTAAGTGTTATAAACCCTTCATTGGTGTTCCACGTGAGACACATACGCAGCGGTGGGGTGTTTTGGTCTCTCTAACTGAGGGTTATATATTTATTTTTGTGTACCCATCTTTAAAGCGTCATGCATTGTGTTCATCGTGAGTTTGATTTGGAGCCATTACCTACAATGCGTTGTGGAAAGGTAGTTTGTGGTTTCGATTTTCGTACATAAATTTATTGATGTAATGTTTGCTTCATTGGTTCATAAAATAAATATACATGGTTTTTTTCCTGATTTTCTCTTTTCAGTGTATCTTTCCATCTTGAACCACGTGTACAATTTCCAAACGAATAGTGGCCGTCGACAACATAACCAAACGGTAGGCATTAAGATACAATTAAAATATATATTAATCGACAAATGGATTATCATCCTATTGCCACGAAGTTATGGTGTGGACAACGATATACGCCAGTGCGTTTAGCGCCGGGGTAGATGTATACTTTCCCGAAAAAACATGTATCATATGTGCAACGATAGATAACTACACATATTATGATATTATGTTATTTGTCAACACCTCAAAATTATAAAATTTCGTCTTTTCACATTTGATAATTAAGTTTAAGTTTATTATGTAGTTTATTAATTTCCACTGGAATGATAAATTAGCCCTCGTTAGGGGGGGGGGGGGGGGGGGGGGGGGGGAAANGAGGGAAAAAACTAAACTGCAACGAAAATTGCCAGGTACACAGTACTTATTTAACACACTTAAAATGTTGTCAGTTTTAGGAAGGCATGGTATACTATTTACAAACAAAGGAATATATGTCAATTGATTTGGTGTTAAATACACTGAAACCTCGATATAATGTCCCTCGTTTTTATTTGCCATCTCGTTTATCGCCTACATTTTTAATGTCCCTTTTCTTGTTTTCTTATTAATTCCTGCATACATTTTCATTAATCTATTGCCAAACCCGTTTCAAACCCCATCATATATCTTGGTAATTGAAGTAATTGAATGTTCCCTTTAATGAAGTAAGACCTTTTGTTTCAAATTGATCAAACCACAAAATGACATTACCTTTTTTTTTCTCTGAATGTGTTAATTAATTGATGAAGCTTGAGTAAAAATACACATTCATCGTAACGCATTTTAATTAAACGGGTATAATGGCATAAATATACAATAAGCGTTGATTGTCAATGATGATGTCGCATTATATTTAAATCAAATCAAGATGTAATAAAACAATTATGGTGTTACACAGCTATCATACTCTGTCTCCGGCACACATACACACATGCGCGTATACACAACATACTTGGAGGCACGTTCCTGGATGCCCTTAGTTGTTAGTAGGAGGCTTAACCCTATAAATAAAACAAAACAACCCTATCATCCTACATAGTTTACACATACCATGCGGAAAATAAACAAAATGTTTATTTCGTTAACGAGACACCTACATGACATTTTGTTACAGTAGAGACACTTTTGTATATTGTAATAACTAGAATATATATATATATGTATATATTTGTTTTAGCCCAAGTTACTGGAACTTCAGGATAGTCTTATCAGATTGTCAAAACTTAATCTGAAACTACAGAATATCAGTAAAACGTTTGAACTCAACATGACATCCGTGTCAATAACGGTAGGAGACGGAGGAGCGTTACAAGAAAAGTACACAACAGCATATGGCAGGGTCATACTAGAAAACATCGAGAACTTGAGACAGAACCTTGCCAGTCAGAAACTGATGATTATGGTAGGTCACAATGGAGAATTTAATGTAATTTATTTTTCATTGTCAGTGCAATGCAAACCTGAAGCAGAAATATATTTCATATACATATCATTTATTACGGCGGACTTGCAAGAACACAGGA